GTAGCCAGGAACACACCATATATGGCTACATAAAGAAAATACTTCAGAGTCCCCAAGAAGTATTACTTATCTGGGCAGCCTCCCCCTCCTTCTTATCCCAATCTTTCAAAGATAGGCTTTAAATGCTTTGCAGCTGTCCAGCATTAAGGCTGAAGAATTCAACAACCACGGCTGTGTAAAAGCACAGGGTGGAAAGAACAACTCCCATATTATCCAGGAATTCAGAACCAGCACAGATCTAGAAGAGGTTCCTGACTGCAAACTTCTTTAATAAAATCTGGGTAAGGTCCCAAAAGCAGATAAACCTGTAAAATTATTCTTTCTTCCCTTCCAGATGATTCTACAAAGGAATTTCTGTCACATAAACTAGTGCAGACCATGCCTAACTGCCTTGAGTTTTAGCCAACCTCTCCACAGCCAAAAATACCAACTACCACCACTGCACGCATTTTCTTACTGAGGTTTTTCAGGTGGTCTGCATAATCTTATACCCATGGAGTTAGTGAGCCATTTCGTATTTCCTGAAACTAAACTGCACATTAGATGATTCACCAATTAGTGTATTCATGAAGCTCTAAAAAGCAATCAAATTTTCATTTTTTGTGGAAAAACTTAAGAGATGTCCAGCTGTATGCATGGAGAGAGCATGTGGGCTTCTCTCCTTTATTTAACTTAACTAACAGCTATGTTAGCTGGTGAAAAATATTCAGTGTGTCAGAGTTAATTTATAGAGCTGACAAAGTATAAGGGCTCCAGAAGGTATAGCATACATTTACTAAATTTTAAATACAACATTTTAACTAGATATAGCTCAAAGATTAAAATAACTGTCCAACAACCAAACCACACAAACACGTAGCATTTCAGGGCGTTTCTTATTTAATGGAGCAACTGCACGTTTGCTTCAAACTAATGCACAGGTTCACAGTTTTGGAAAAGTTGATAATCCTTCTGACCCCAAACCCCATAAAGCAAAATACAAGGGGTTTTTTAACTAGGTAGACACCTTCAGAAGACAGCATGCACCTCAATGCAATGCAGGGCATGATGAGATGGAGGGGAGGCACAGGAAATTTCTCAACACAACCAAACCTTGTGGCCTTAATGAAGCCTCTAGGCATAAATACCACAACATAGCACTAACTGCTTATTTCCCCTTAAGGCTGAAGAAACCTACCAAACATAGCTCTTGGGCAAACCAGAGGCAAGGAAATAAGCCTGAAACAGACAGCTACTCAAGAATGATTTAACAAGCCAGCCTATTCCAATGTTTTGGAATAGGAATCAGTATTTTAGGAGTTTATGGTGAAGCCTTTACACCAAAACTTCTTTTATTCATTCTACAAAGTTAAGAATGTTCATTTTAGTGAAGAAAAAGGTATCTTGTTTAGATTTTAAATTTGCTTTCACTATTTGTAGCAGTGAATTAAACGTCACCACTTTAGATCAACCTACACTATGAAAGTTACATGGAGTCACCTGAATCCCATCTATCAAAAACAAAAAATCAAGCTATTTAGCAACAGGCTATTACAGAACAAGGTGGTTTACAACCATTAATAGAAATCATCACTATCTTTTGATTAGACCAAAATACATCTTAGTTCAAACACCATGAACACAATCAGAAAAAAGCATGATATACCATCTTGAGTTATGAGTCCATCAGGGAAACACATGAGTTGCCACACTGGGTTCAATGAATAGTCATCCCTCTAGAACCTTGCCACAGAATGACAGGTTCTACATGTTTTAAAGATTAAAAAACCACCCCAAACCTTTCTAAAAGAACACCATTACTTTTAATCCCTTCCATCTGTTCTGTTTCTTAGATGTACCTGCCATCATAAAAAGAGCAACAGAGGAGAAATTCTAGATAGCCCTCCAAGGACTAACCCAGCCATTTTTCCAATGCTCTCATATGTATGAAGTCATGTCAAGCTATTGCATGCTATCCAGCTGTCTGAATTCACCAGTTGGTTGTACTGCTAATGCAATTCTGAAATCAGAGTAGATGCAAGACATCTAAAAGACCAACTGGAACAATCCAAACACACTTAGCAGCTCAGTCCATCAGGTCCCAAAGTTTTGTTTTCCCTTCTTTGTAGTTTGCTTTGGACTGACAAAGAATGCACCCCAAAAACATAGCTAATTCACTCTGCCAGAGTTATTAATGCACAATACCCACAACAGAACAATTAAATACAGAACCATACAATAGAATCATAGAATAGTTAGGGTTGGAAAGGACCTTAAGATCATCTAGTTCCAACCCCTCTGCCACGGGCAGGGGCACCTCCCACTAAACCATGTCACCCAAGGCTACAGAATCATAGAATAGTTAGGGTTGGAAAGGACCTTAAATATATACATATATGTTCTGACAGAGACCTTACTGCTAAGGCTACTGCACTGATACCAGGCCCACTTGAATATCCTGGTTTTCAGATTGACAACCGAATGAAGTAGGAGGCTGTTAACTTGGAAAGTTGCCTTCATCCAGCATCTTTCTGTAGCAATCTCATTAACTGGGGATATTCAAGGTAACAGGGGTTATGTTCAGGCTGCATGACATCTTCAGCAGGAAGCCTTGAACAGCACAAACCTGCATGTCACAAGATGTTGAGGTGTGCGAACCACACCTCGAGATTTCCATGACTGTAACACAGTTTAACTATGAAATTGCCCTAATGTCATCTCTGCGCACACCTGTGGCCCATGTGAGATCTGAACCCAGAAGTTAAGAGACCTGAGTAAGGCAAACAACATCTGGGGGCTATGATGTACTCCATGGTCATTACCTAGTCACACAACCCCAACTTCCCTTCCTGAAATGGACTTATGAAAGGACATTCCATTCTCCTCGATAATTCATTGGACTCAAGCCTTCCGGCACCCATAAATTACAGTCTTCATGTTGCACAAATACACTCTGAAGGGTGGAATGGGACTAAAATTGCTGTTTCGTAAGAGTAGTGTATCTTGAAGTAAGAGCCCTAAACTAGAAAGTTAACCAGGTTCACAAGAAACAGTATCAGGCTTCTATACAATCCCATAATAAAGATAAAAGCACATTAAGACACTGATTCTGTAAAGGAGTTTAAGCTAAAGGGTCCAGCAACTGCACAATCTCTTTTCAGTATTGGGTCCTAGCTCACAATATTAACAAAATCAAAGTGAAACTACTCTAAAGTTACATTTTAAACACTAGTAAAGTATTTTCTGTGGTACCTGCAACCACACAAGGGTCTTTTTTTGCTATTCACCAAGAAGGAAACAAGAAAAAAGTGTCCCGAAATCCAACTGCTCATCTCTAAGGGAATTTTAAACTTAATTACACAAAAGATGTCAAGATAAAGTAAAAACTTGAGAAAACAGAACTCTCAAATGTCTTTAAAGCATGTTAAGTATTCAAACAGCCATGAAAATGCAATTTAGCCTCCTGCAGAGCATTTTAAAGCCAGCAAAAAGGCTCTCAACATTTTCACTCTCATCTTGATATCCAGTTCACCTGTCTGCTGAAAGGGACAGATTAAAGAGATAACCAGTCAACTTCTGTGCAAGTTTTTTTGGAGCATGTATTTTTAAATAAGGTTATATAAATACAAGCTTTAGTAGCACTTTTCCAGTCATATAATCTCCATGCAAATAGTTGAGTTGGGCTACATCTACCCCCAAAAAGTTTTCTTGTAATAGGAGTATACTGCACCAACAAAATCACCGCTGAAGTTGTTACCATTTGTACAAGATAGGCCATACCTTTACCAAACTTACAAACTACACTGGAATCAGCTTCAATGGGAAAGCAGAGTCAGTGTCTTGAGGGTTTGCATGGCATGGTCAGGGATCATACATCACACAGAATCACAGAATCAACCAGGTTAGAAAAGATTTTTCAAGTCCAACCCTTCCCCCAGGACTGCCAAGTCAACCCCTAACCTATGTCACTAAGGACAAATGATGGCATATGGCACCCCATATGATGCTCTGTCTAAAATGTATAGCTTACAATCATAGAAACGTTGCAGAAAACTTCAACAAGCTTAAGAGGAGACAGGAGGGGATAAAAGAGAGATAAAAGAGAAGCATTCTGCGAGTACTCAGGGAATGGAAATGTAACTATTGCACATGCTGTGTTCATAAGAATACATCAGGTGACACAAACCCAATGAAACAAACATTATCAGAGGCAGAAATGTATTCCACGGGATTAAGCTATTGTGATTCTGTGTAAGCATTGAATTACAAAGTTAACAGCAGCAGAAATAACACGATTTACTGCTTCTACAATTCCAAGAAACCATTCACAACTTCGAGTTAGATGCATATAGACTTTTATGAGTTTGATACCGAAACTTTTATGAGTGCTCACAGCCTGACGCTTGACGTGCCACCCTCCACAGAAGGGGTTAACAGTCGCTTCTGTGCCCCGAACACTCAAAGGGGCACTTTTACCAGGGTGATTTCTATACTGACAAACACCCGAGCAAGCTCGACTGGAAGAGCCACCCCCCCGCTCCTGCACCAGCTACCGAATTAACCTGGACGCCCAGGGGAACAGCGCTCAGGGCCGGGGCACCCCCACCGCCTGCCTCGGGGGGCCGGCACCGCACTGGAACAGCTCGAACCCCAACCCCCTGGGGCTCCGCTGCCAACGCCAGACTTAGCCTAGAGCTGCCTCTCTCAGGAGGGCACCGGGACCGAGCGGCGCTGCCCCTCGCCCCGGGCGGCCTCCTCCCTCACGGGCACCCCGGCCCGGCCAAGCCCCGAGGCGGCACTCCGCGGCCGAGCCCTCCTCCTCCCTTCCCCCGGCTCCTTCGGGCGCTGGCTGCCCTCGGCCGGGAGACGGCGGCAGCTCCCGCCGCGGAGCCGGGGCCGGGGCCGCGGCCTCGGCGGGCAGTAGCGGGGCCGGGGCTGCGGGGTAGGGAGCGGCCGCCTCTCGCCGCCGGGGGGCGAGCGGCGCAGGTCCCGTCCGCCGAGCCTGACCGGGAGGCACCTACCTCTGCGCCGCGGCGGGGACAGCGACGCCTCAGCGCCGTCCCGGCGGCCCCGACATCCTCCGGCGCCCCGCCCGGGCCCGCCGCCTGCCGCTCGGCGCGGACGGAGCAATCGACGGAGCCCCCTCCCCGGTCCCCCCTCCGCCGAATGGAAAATAGCTCCCCGGAGCGCAGCGAGCGGGAGCGACACCTCGCCAGCCAATGAGAGCGGGCCTGGCCCTCCGCAGAGCCAATGGGAGCGGCAGGCTGGCTGAGGCGGGGCATCGCCCAGCCTACCGGGCCGCGGCGCTGGGACTGACCCGCTACGATGTCTCCGGCTAGCCTCCATTGGCGACCATCTTGGAGTCGGGCACGATGCCCAATGTGGGAAGGGGCTCGCCGGCGGCCATTTTGGGTTCGGGCGCGGGGCGGGACTGGCGCAAGCGGCGGGGGCCGACGGGAGGAAGCGGCGGGCGGCGGGGCGGGGATTCGGTTTGGCCCGTCCCCGCCGTGTGCCGGTGGACGCGGGATCAGCAGCCGGGCCGAAGTTCACCCGTGACGCTCGGTGTCAGAATACGAACGGCAGTGGGGCAGGCCGGAGGCTGCCCGCAGGCGCCGGTTAAGCCGTGTACCCACCCGCACCCCGGCCTCCGGGGACCCCCCGGGACGGGCAATGCACCTTGGAAGGTCTGGAGGAGCGCTCGGAGCAGCCCCAGGGTGGGCTAACGGGGTGGCTGGCATAGTACGTACTATGGAGCTGCTCCTTGGATAACGCCACCAGCTGCCCCAGCGCTGGATAGGAAGTCAAATGGCTCCTTGTAAGCAGAAGGGACTAGATAATGCTTACAGAGACTTCTTAAGAGATGTGGGTATTGCTGAGAGCAGTGCCCTGTTAAAACAGCTCCCTCTTTTTCCTCCCTCTGTATAATGCGGAGCAAGCTCACTGCTCGGCTCCAGCACAGATGAAGTGTGTTTGATCACATCAGACAGAGGAATCAGTCGTTGCTGCACCAGTACAAAAAGACAACTTGGCATTGCAAGCAACAGAGCGTGACTTGTCTCTTCCTGCATGCAGCACATAAACTGGGATGCTGCGATCTGAGGGCGGATGGTTAGATGGGGAAAAAACAGTTGGATCACCAGGCTTGGAGGGTCAGGGTCAGTGGGCTGTACTCTGCTGGCAGTAGGGAGTGGAGTAGTGCAGGGGCCAGTCTGTTTGACACCCTTCTCAGTGACTTGAGGATGGGAGCGCATGCTGCTCGAGTTTGCAGGTAATGCCAGAGTGGGACAGTGGAAGGACAAGTGAAAGGGAATTCAACAAGTCCAGCACCTGGGAAGGGAGAGCCCTCTGCAATAGTACAGACTGGGGACTGATTTATAGGTGGGCTGGGGAGCAGCTTTGCAGGAAAGGACATGGGGTCTTGGTAGACAGCAGGCTGGCCACAAACCAGCACTGTATCCTGGCAGCAAAAGAGGCCAAGAGCATCATGGGCTGTACCACCAGGAATACAGCCAGCAGGCCTGCTTCTACTCAGCCACATGTAGAATAGTGTGTCCGGTTTTGGGTATCCAAATGCAGGGAAAACCCCAGCAGACTGTAGCAAGTTCAGTGGAGGCCACCAAGTTGTCCAGGGAAAGCTGCAGCACTTACCCTCTGAGGAGAGGCTGAGCTAACAGGCTTCATTTAGCTTGAGGAAGAGGCAGCTTCAGCATACTTTTGCATGCAGAACACAGCCTAGCATATACATTAGCAGCAAAAACCTCAAAGATGAAATAATACCCTGTATAAGCAATTCTGCACCTTGGAAGAGGATGAAAAATATAATGAAACATACATAATTGATGTTAGTTGCATTCAGAATGATACTGATGAGGCCAATGTGTGAATTTACATTTCTAGAACAGGGCAGCACTCATGAAGGATTCATGTGCACCCAGCACAGATGCAGCTAAATAGCCACTTGGCAGCCCTATGTAAACAGTGCAAGAAAGAATGAGCTCGCAAGTAGTAACAACAAGCAAAATAAATCCAGAGCCAGCAGAGCCAGGATCTAGTCAGTCTAACAGTTCAAGAGGGGGAAATGCGAAGTCCTGCGCTTGGGCAGCAACAACTGCAAGCCCCCGTACGTGCTAGGGACTGGCTAGAAAGCAGCTTTGTGGAGAAAGACCTGAGAGTCCTGGTGCACACCAAGCTGAACACGAGCCAGCCGTGTGCCCATGCTGCAGTGAAGGATAATGGTGGTGTGGGCTGCATGAGGAGGAGTGTGCCAGCAGGTCAAGGGAGGCGATCCTTCCCCTCTCCTTTGCCCTGGTGAGGCCACACCTGCAGCCCTGTGTCCAGTTGTGTGGTCTCCAGTACAAGAGAGAGGTGGAGCTACTGGAGAGAGTACAGCAGAGCACTGCTAAGATCACTGAGGGATTGAACCATTTCTCCTATGAAGAGAGACTGGAAGAGCTGGGACTGCTTAGCCTGAAGAAGAGAAGCCTCAGGGGATCTCATCAATGTATATAAATATCTGAAGGGAGGATGTGAAGAGGATGGAGTCAGACTCTTAACAATGCTGCCCAGTGACAGGACCAGAGGAAATGGGCACAGACTGAAACACAGGATGTTCTGCCTGAACAGCAGGAAACACTTCTTCATAGCGATGGTGACCAAGCACTGGAACAGGTTGCCAAAGAGACACTGTGGAGTCTCCATCCTTAGAGATACCCCAAAGCCATCTCAGCATGGTCCTGCGCAACCAGCTCTAGCTGATCCTGCCTGATCAGGGGAGGCTGGACAAGATGACCTCCAGGGGTCACTTCCAACCTCTGCTGTTCTGTGATTCTGTAACATTTAACATCACCACATCACCTAAGAATACTTATCTTTGTGCTGGGTTTGGCTGGGATAGGGTTAATTTTCTTCATAGTAGCTGGTATGGGGCTGTGTTTTGGATTTGTGTTGGAAACAGTGCTGATAACACAGGGATGTTTTCATTATTGCTGAGCAGTGCTTACACAAAGTCAAGGCCTTTTCTGTTCCTCAGCCCACCTCACCAGTGAGGAGCTGGGAGAGGACACAGCCAGGACAGCTGGCCCCAACTGACCCAAGGGATATTCCACACCATATGGCATCATGCTCAGCATGATTAAAAAGAAGGAATTGGGGCCTGTTTGGCATAGTGGTGTTTGTTTTCACAAGTAATGTTACGCATGATGGAGCCCTGCTCTCCTGGAGATGCTGAACACCTGCCTGCCAATGGGAAGTGGTGAATGAATTCCTTGTTTTGCTTTGCTTGTGTGCACAGCTTTTGCTTCACCAATTAAACTGTCTGTAACTCAACCCACAAGTTTTATCACTTTTACCTTTCTGATTCTGTCCCCATCCCAGCAGGGCCAGGGAGGGCAGTGAGCAAGCAGCTGTGTGGTGCTTAGTTGCCAGCTGGGGTTAAACCACAAGGATCTTTTCCAAGTCAGCAGTTACCCAGTGCTGACTCCACTGGTATAAAATTCCCTAAGTGAGTTTTTAACTTCAACTGGTAGGCTGTTTCTCTTTTCAATTCCTTCTGTAGCAAACTAGCATTCATTTTCATGCCTAGCATGTAGTAAATATTTTTATGCTAGATACTTACAAACTTCTCAGAACTATAAAGTTTTAGTAGCATAAACCCCCAGATGTGCTCTGTCTCTTACCCATAATGCAGATCCTCCTGATGCTTTCATTTTTGTCAGGGTTAAGGTTCAGCAAGTCGTCTTCATCTAATGCTACTTGGGCAAAGAACTAGTAACTGAAGAGGGCAATGATCTACTGCTTTGTTTTCACTACCATACGTTTCATTGTTGGGGATCTGTTGATAGGATGGAGGAAAAGAAACAAAATAGTCTGCTACTTGCTGTAACAAGAATAACATTTCCTAATACCAGCAGAGTTAAGTGTAACCAGAGTGCAGCAGGATGGCAGCTGTGCAACTGGTGATTACCATCCTCAGGCTTCACCAGCCTGACCCTCACAGCTGTGGGTTCTGGTTAGATTTTGGGAGGAAGCATTGGTGCAAGGGACCAACACTCAGGCTTCAAAGCGTGATGCTACTTGCTGTGGTATTTCTCTACTCGTGTTGGTATGGACATCTTAAAGAGCTGTATCAGTAAGATTCTGAGAAGGAAATGAGGAAACCAGGGGCCATTGTGGATGCTCCAGACTATGAGGCTGCAATGAGTCTATTAAAAGAAGTCAGATCACATCCTTTCTCAGGATGTGCACACACCCTTGAATGCAAAGCAATCCTCTGGGGAATCATCTGGGCAATCTCTTCATTCATATGGCAATTCATTTTCCTGATGGACGGCAACGATCCATTCATTCTGAGAGGACGAGGGGACACTGAGGAAACGGGGATTGGAAGAAGGTGAGCAGAGGCTGGAAAGTGAGCAGGCTGCTACCTCCCACATTGGCTTGCTTTCATCTTTCAATGTTTATTTCCCAGGCATGCTGCCAGCTCCTGTGTTTGCTGCCAACAATGCAGCGCAGCACTGTTGGGCATGCCGTGCACAGGGCCCTCAGCCTGCCACTCTGGGGTGACACTGCCCGCTTGCTGTGCTATCAGCCACCGTGGTTGCTTCACCAGCCCTGAGCTGCCACACTAACTGCTTTTCCCAGCCCAGCTCTGCTGGATCATCGCTTGTCAGTATGTCCTTGACTGATCCCGGTTCTGCATGAAATACTGCCTGACCCTGGCAAGCTCTGCAGCTCTGACTTTATCCCACTTCCTTCTTCAGGGTTTATCCTCTCTGTAGCCTAGAGTAATTCCAAGAAAGCAAATGCAGGCATAGACCTTAAATAAAACCTCTTAACTCCAAATGGGACTCACAGAGTTTGACCAAGTTAGTCAAGGCATACCTTCTCCCCTCACTCCTAGCAGCAGTATCAGCCACATACCACACCTCAGTGTGTCAGAGCTGTAAAATCAAGTTGTAGTTCAGCAAAGCAAAATAGGGTCCTTTCAACTGTGGCTAGCAAAGCAAGCAGCCTTCTCTGCAGCCCCAGCATCCCTGCCCTGTGCCCACAAGTCTCTGTGAGAACCATGGTACAGCTGTAGTGGTAGGACTTCCCTGTGCTAGGGTGCTTCTTCCAGGCCATAGTGACACACAGTCAGAAGACTGCCCATTAAAGTCAGAGCAGTGTAATCATTTGATGCTATCTCCTTACTTCCAGGCTTTTTCCCTTCAGACTGGAACTAGATGAACACTCCTCTGTCCTTCAGCCAGGCAGAAGAGAAGCATTAGTGATGGAAAATCTAAGA